ATGTGCTATTGTTTGACATTTTTTTTTTTTTTTGCATTTGCTCACAACATACATGTGCGTCATAAATACAAAAATGGAAAGATTATATGTTTTAGGTATGTTATTATTATTATTGTTTATATTGAAAACACGACGATATTGCAATAAAACTTTTATCAGCACTTGTCATAGATGATGCCAAGCATTACAGCAGGTAATGAATTAAACAAAATGTAAATATATACCAATAAGACATATTTATTTTGGCATACCAAAATTCAATAATATCAATAAAAGTAGGCACATGTCTGTTAAATAAAACTACACCAACAACAATATCTGTTTTAACATATATGATTATTATCATCAGAAAGGGTACATTTATCATATATGTTACATATTTTGGTTTTTATTTTGCACCCTATCATATAATAACTTTTGGTTGAATATATAATCACATATGAGTTGTGGCATTTAACAAATTTTGTTTTGTTTATTACTTTTTGGGAAAATTTTGTATATTAGGAATATATATATATATATATATATATATCAATTGTACAGTGTAACATTGATATCAAACTTCCAAATTCAGACCTGATGTGGTACATTTGTGATGTATTTTTACAGTATTCTATTGTCCAATGTGCTACTAGAGATGGTACAGCAAACTTCAATTCTAACCACCATTCCAGTACTCAAGACTTTGTACCTTATTCAGGACAGGTGTGTTTCCACTAGAGTATGAAGACATTTTTATTATCAAGAAGATATGATTATCATATTGTGGCCCCCCAGTGGCACAGTGGTATGCCTGCGGACTTCTCATGTTAGAAACCGGGTTTTGATACCTGTGGTGGGAAGAGCACAGATAGCTCATTATGTAGCTTTGTACTTAATTACAAACAAACAAATCATATTGTGTTATTTTAAAATTATAGGTAGTTTTTAACTGCCAGAATTAATTATTTCAAGGAATGACATTTGATATTGCTACTTTTATTTGTGATTCTTGCTCTTGACACAGAGATTCATTCTAAAATATAAACCAATGTCTTTTACAAAAGGACATTTTGGATCTATAGATCATAAGTCTTATCATTTTACCTCAAAAGATACTAGAACAAAATCTGTTTACATTTTTTAAAACTTAAAACAGTATTTTAATTTCCAAACGTTTTTGTGATTATAAAGTAATAATTAAAAATGATTATTTTATTTTTACAGGTCTGGTTTGACTACATATAAAATTCAATTAGTATTTTAAAAATCTTTGAAATTAAACATTTGAGTGAAAAAGTTTGGTGGGTGATTACAGGTCCAGTTTGAGGAATGGGAGGATGAAAAGTTTTGTACTGTTTTCATCAATGATGATTCAGTGTATGAAGGAGTAGAAGATTTCACAGTGGAGTTAAGTAGTCCATCATATGCATTGTTGGGACAACCAACTGTGGCCAAAGTTTTCATTGATGACATTGAAGATGGTAAAGATAGATTTTATTTGTAGAAATTCGTATTTATTTATTGTTTCTCTGCTCACGTGTTTGTAAACTATTTGAAGAATGTAAAATGTATTGCTCTTAGAATTCAGAAAACATGTAAGTGATTGATACACTAGTGAGTGAATAATCTTGAACATTATTTCAAAGGTTATGTACAATGGTGTATGTGTTATACAAGACTCTAATTGTTGAGACTCAAACAATATATTCAGTTTTATGTAAAAATAGACTAGTAATGTGTAGGTGTAAAGTTAAATATCTTAGTTTAAAAGTACAGATATTAAGGCATTTATTTTCATTTATCAATAAGATAATTATGTTCTTATAGATTAACATTTGCATTATAATATAAAAGAGGCTGGAAAAAAAGAATCATTGCTTAAAAAATCAAAATTTTGTTTCAACCATTGTATTGTAGTTATAATAACTAATTAACATGAAACTAAATACAAAATTTTTTAATCTTTTACAGAACCATTGATCAGCTTTGAGGAACAAGTTTTTCACATTAATGAAACTGACAGCTACTTGTTTGCTCGTGTGAGACGAACTGGTAAAATATATATAATAGAAAACAGTTTTTGCCATTTACACAAATCCTAGTAATAGATTCAACCTTCAGGGTTTGATTTATGAGAAACATATATAATTGTTTTAAATAATGTCTTACATCAGTTAATTAGACCTTTTTTATTCTTATGTTTTGCTGCCCTTAATTTTGTTCATCTGTTTCTATTTTCTCATCATTCTTAAGGTCATTTGTTGTTTTGAACTTGCCATTTTGTTTTAGGTGAGTGGTGCATTGTGTTTTTAGGATATTTTCCCTAACTACTTTTTATGGAGATATATGGCACTGAAAATGAAGTTAGTTGTAATAAACAGACAGACAAATGCATAACATTTATACTTACTGATGTCTTGAAAGCAACTAATTAAAGTATTTCTATTTTGTATAGGTTTAATAAACATGGGAGTTTAACAATGGCATGGCTTATGTTGTCAGTCATATCAGCATTTTTCAGGAAACGCTGTTGTATAAATCTTGTGTACTGTCATTATCTGTGTATTATTACAGAATAGCTTTTATCTTACAAAGGTTCTATCATGTAATTCATTCCTCACCATTAGCATGAAATGTTTAGCATTTTATAAATTGTACCAGTGACTTTCATACAGTACTTGTATTTATACTTGGGTATCTAAACTGTTTAACAATTGCTATGTCTCTATATTATGAATACTTCCATTGAAGTATTATTTATTAAATTTTAATCTTATTTTTTGTCATTTTGAGAAACTACAACTAAAAGTATTTTACAGTTCACTTACTGTCAGTTTTTATTAAAAGTGACATTACTTAGTTTTGTACAACTCCCTATCACTTAATAATTGTGAACACTTCTGGTGAAGCAGCATTGTTAACTCAGTGTCAATATAGTATTGTGTATTTTACTGGTAAGGATTTTCTAGTTGATGTACTGTTACTTTATTTTTTAACATTGCAAGTAAGATTTTGCTTAGCAATTCAGTAACTGTCATTGTAAATTATTGTGAACATTACTCTTAAGTATTGTATAGTTTATGTACTGTTCATTTATATTGTTGTGAATATTACAAATGAGATTAGAAAAGCAGTTAATTATATAGTTAATTATTTTGTTGTGAATACTATTAATAAAACATTGAGTTGTAAAATCATTGTTAGTGTATTATTCTTAAATATATTAATGAGGTTTTGCATAAATAATTGTCACTGTATGTTATAATAAACAATACTAATGAAGTAATTTTCTAAAAGCAGCAGTATTACTTTATTTTAAACATTACTGATTTAGTATGGTATAGTGAACTCATTCCTGTCACATTACATGTCAGTGTTTTAGTTTATTAATTACAAAAATGAAAAGAAAACAATAATTCAATAAAATGTTTCATGATACTCATTAATTTATTCAGGAGAATGCCCTTATGATGCCAGAGTATTAATGGTATTAAATTCAAATTTTGATCTATACATCAATTAAAAAACAATCTTATAAATGTATCTGAAATTTTTGATTGGCTTGATTTACTGAACTCATAATATGTTTTGCACTTGAAGATATTTTCTTTAAAGCTGATTTCTCCCATGATGCATGGTGGGGACATCATCTAAAAACTTTCTTATACTCTATTGTCACATAAAACGTTTTCTTCAAGTTATATATCCCTCTTTATTTAGGAATAGAATGTACATATACCACTGTATGTTTATTAAAATGCATAGAATATTTGGACTGCAATTTCCACCTTACTGCAAATATCTATTTATATTTTATTATTAAAGTGTCAGAAAAGAACTTGTTTGCATGAAATTTAGATGATGACACAGCTGTTTTATTATTTTTCTTTTTTTTATAGTGTGTGTTTAAGAAACAATCGTATAATACTAATATTAGAAATTAATAAAACATCTAGTGTGAAAAAAGCAGAGCCTACCCAACAATTACTTCCAGTGTTCATTGCAAACTTTCCCTTCAGTTTAGGTGTTTTATGCAATAATGTTTATGGACACCATTATATGCATTGTATGTGTCAGTGTTTTAACTTGGTATTCACAAAAATTAAAATGACCCTTCAGTAAAATGTACCATGCTGCATATTAATTTTCTCAGGACAAAGTTGTTAATGAAAGCAGGGAGGCAAGCTGTTTTCATTATATTACATTCGAAAAGAAGCAGATGTTTTATTATTATTATTCTTTTACATAAATGATAATATTAAATTCAAATTGTAATTCATACACTAGTTATATTGGAAGTGGTTGAGGAACTTGATTGGGTTTATTTTTTTGGGTGCTTAAAATTTATTTTTTAAAGCTGACATCTGCCATCAATGCATTATGGTGATATCACTTCCTTATATTCAGCATATTCCAGGCTAGTAACATCATAAGCTAGTTTTGTAATCAGAGTTTTGTAAGTACTAAAATAATGCAGCCTGCTAAATCCAGGATACTAACCTTTAGTGCTATAAAAACAAAATGAATAAAAGTCCTATCCTTTTCGTGCATGAGTACTTTGTTAACCATAAATGGTAATATGGTAATATCTGTACAAGATGAATTTTAGAACCAATCAATAGGAAGATTAATCAGTTATTAAAAAACACATGGAAAAACTGAAACAGAAAACCATTTGAGAAATGCAATGCAAGACAAGAATTCCAGTATCACAAAAAGATCAGGCCTGTAGAAAACAAAAATGAAGATTTGAGGAAAGAAATGTTTTGGTAACAAACCAAGAGACAACAGGTGGCACAGAAGGCAAGCCTGGTTGGAGGAAAATAGTGTGAAATAGGAATATGGAGTAGATTAATTTCAATCTTTGACAACATCAAAACACTTTTTTCAGAAACAGTTGTATAGATTCTACCCTGTATCATGCAAAAGTGCTAATATGAATAGTTTTTTCAGTGAACTGTTTTTAAAATAATATCACTTCTGAAGAATCTTCTAGTTATCTCACTGTCGGGTTATGTTATTGTGAATATCACTGTTGTAGAATCTTATAGTTATCTTACTGTCATGTTATATTATTGTGAATATCGCTGTTGTAGAATCTTATAGTTATCTTACTGTCATGTTATATTATTGTGAATATCACTGTTGTAGAATCTTATAGTTATCTTACTGTCATGTTATATTATTGTGAACATCACTTCTGAAAAATCTTCTAGTTATCTCACTGTTGTGTTATATTATTGTGAATATCATTTCTGAAGAACCTTCTAGTTATTTCACATAATTTTATGAATACTATTCAAATTATATTATAAAGTGTTGTCGGTGCTTTCAGTTGAGTATGTTTTGCTAACCAAATGTAATTTTATACCATTGTGATTTTTACAAGTATTGAATGGCACAATACAATCTGGAAAATCTGGCAGTTTATCATTGTACTTTTTGGATATACAATTGGTAGTAAAAATGTGTATAATACATTTTCCTTAATTTAAATAAACCTTCCTTTTTAGGGGATGTAAGCCATGCTATATCAGCTATTTGCTACACAATCCCTCTGACAGCAGATGGCAGCCAGGCTGATCAACTGGACTCTGGGGCTGATTTCAGGTCACGACCTAACAATGAAGTGTCCAGGGTGGTATTTCCCTCAGGAGTGACAAGAAGCTCTTGTGATGTTAAGGTAAGAAATTGTCTTTTGGGTTGCAATAGTTTTGCAATGTCTGTTTTTATTAGTATTTGTAATGTTATAGTGAATATTTCTGTTGTAAGGGTTGCACACAGAACCTATGTTGTATTTTTCCCACCAGTTGTGACATGAAGCACAGGTGATGTTAAAGTATTTCTTGTAGAGCTATTACACGGAGTACTTATGATACTACAAGTAAATATATCCTTCAAGGATGCCGTAAATCACTTGTAACATTTAATAATATCCTCAGAGATAGTACAGAAAGCATGTGTTGTCAAAATAAGGGTTTGTCTTAGAGATGGGATAGATCAGCTGTGTTATTATAGCATTTTTCACAAAAGTGACTAAAAGTGTATGTTATGCTCTTCCTTCATAGCGCACAGCATGTGGGATAAAGCTATGTTCTTCTTGGATAATCTGCTGCAGCATGTAATAAAGCTATGTTGTCCTAAGGGTAACCTGTGACACATTTGATGAAGTTATGTTATTTCCTATGGAATGAAATTATGCCCTTCCTGAAATACCTTGTGGCACTTGTGATGAAGCTATGTTTATTTTTTTCTGGATAACATGTAGCACATATGATAACAAAATAAACTGTGGCACATGTGAAGAAACTATGTTCTTTTTGGGGTAGCTTATGGCATATGTGATGAAACTGTTCTTTGTGGGATAATTTGTGGCATGTAATATTAAACTAATTGTTTCTTCAGACTTTTAGAACACCTGTGATTTTTATCTAAGGAGAAACACTAAACATTTTAAAAATTAAATGTCAGTGTTAGGAAAAGAACAAACCTTTATTATATTAAAACAGTGTTTTGTTTAAGAATTACAAAAGTACTAGCAGTGTTAAGGTAATTAGATAATCTTCAAATGTGATACTCAGCTTTAATGATAGTCAGTAACTTAATGTTGTATGATAAAGGATGAATCATATCTTGTTGTTATCTGACTGGAGGTGGATTGCATGCAACTGTTATCCTTTAGTTTGGGATGAATTATATTGGTGTTAAGTGTTATATTCTTTGGTATGGAATGAATCATATGTTTTTTTGTGAAATTGTGAGTCATGTGCAGTGTTAGATATATATATATATATATATATATATATGTATATAGCTTTTTTATTTTGAATCATATGAGGTATTTATTACTGTGATAATTTAGATGTTAATACTGACATAAATGTTTTCTCTAGCATAGGATCAATCATATTTGATATAGATATAAAATTGTTCTCTGTTATAGGCTGAATTACATCAAAAACAAATTTATTTTGCTATTGTAAGAAAATCATATTTGCTACTAAGATATATTTTTCTCTAATATTGAATGAATCATGTACAATGCTAATATGGTATTCCAGTGAGAGGTTTGAGGATCTAATATAGATGTACAAATAGTTTGTTGTAATTAGATCAAAAGAAGTTCAACAAAAATAGAAACTTTATTCATGGGATTAGTTTTTGTTCAGTTCACTTTTCATTTATCTGTTGCATTTTTGTGAGAATTAATGAAGTTAACTTCTTGAAATGACCTATTAAAATGATATAATATCTTTAATTTAAAATAAAGTAACAAACTGCATTTAATAAAGTAAGATGAAATTAAGCTTCATTTAGAAATCAACTGTTTGGCTAATTAATTAAAAGGAAAAGTACATATACATGATCAACAGACTGAACATCAACAAAACATTTACAAGTGAAGTTTAACTTTTTCAGTATATAGAAAAATGAATCCTACTGAAAATACCATAACTGTTGTAATGATTCACATTTTCTCTATAGCTGACCGATCATTAGATAGCTTCTTTGACTAAATGTTACTACAGAAAGTAACACCTAGTGTTAATTAACACACAGCTTTGACTGGAGTTACAAGTAGAATTCTAGACAAATTTAAAAACTTTGTAAATGTGTATAATAGGAAAGAAGTTGCACTGCACTAACATAAAGATTATCTTCTGCTACTGAATATTCTTATATTTAAGTAAATGCTATAATTTTATTTTAATGGTTCATATCTAACAGTAAGATACATTTTTCCCATGGTATTGAGAAATAGCAGTTTTTTTTTGGGGGGGGGCAAAGTAGTGTGAAATTATGAAATGAATGAATAAAGAAAAACTTATAACACCCATGATCCCATCTGAACATGTTCACCCTTTCATCTGTGGGAGCATTATAATGTGATGATCAATCACACTATTTGTTTAGAGTTGCCCAAAAGTTGGCAGTAGATGGTGTTGAAAAGCTGTCTTCTCTCTAGTCTGTCACTTCTTAATTAGAAATGTATATATATTGCAGATAACTTTTGAGTAGCTTTGGGTGAAACTTAACAAAACAAACAAACATTTCATTGTTACTTAATAAAGCATTTATTGATAACTTAGAACTCCCATGTGTAGATATGATCCATGGTTAAGTATTCTTTACATTTGAATTACAGTTATTATCATAAATACTCATATCATATAATTCTGCTTTTTTTCTAGATTATTGATGATAGCCTCTTTGAGGATAAAGAAGAGTTTGAAATTGTTCTCACCAGTCCATCATCTAAGGCTCGAATAGGGAATATAACAAAAGCTCTTGTTGTAATAGATGGGCCTAATGATGGTAAGCATTACAAGTATAACTTTTTGTTATCAAAACAGCTTTATGCTATATTAAAATATTCATCCAAATAATAGGTGCATTAAACCATTTGCTAACAATAATTGCTAATCACTGACTAAATTATACATTAATGAGGATTTTTGTTTTTTTCCTTCTCTGCATCCTTATTTTTTACTGAAAAACTATCTAGGTAATTTTAAGTAATTTTTTGATATATTGAATGATATATAATTATAAAAATACTTTCATTTGCCATAATAAATGATTAAAACAGCATTTCTGTAAATTATTCCAGATCTCTGAAACAACAGTTCCCTCTTAAACATGAAACAATTCTGAAAAGTTGTTTTAAATCCTGGAAATATTCACTTATTTTTCAGAATCCTTAGTTTACCTGGCACAAAGTGTCTTTCTGTTTAATGAAGAAGCAGGAGAGGTTGAAATAGAAGTCATTCGTGAAGGTCCAGATCTGTCCCAACCAACAATAGTTTGGTGTGGAACTCTCCCCTCTGATCCTTCGTCAGCCTTACCTGGACAGGACTATGTTCCAAGTTCCATTCAAATAACTTTTGGAGTAGGCCAGACCTCAGCAGTGAGTGTTAATTTCAATAAGCTTTAACATTTTGAAAATTATTATTTTCATTAATTATTGTTTAAGAAGTACTAAATTAATGTGAAATATTTTATGTTAGAGTGTAAAACAACAATAGATTTTACCAGCTATTCTGTGCTGGTGAAACATTAGAGTTGCCATGTGTTGTCATCATGCTGGGCCATGAATCTGAAGTCTCAAAGCTTGTGCCTCAATACTGTGCTTGTGATTGTGGAAATGTTATATGAATTACTGTCAATCCTGTATTTCATTTGAAGTCAGATATGGCTGTCTGTTATGGCAGCAGATGCTTCTGGCTTGCTCCCTTGTCTCTGGTCAATAGGTCAAAATTAGAGATGGATATAATTAAACTTTATGGGTAACTGACCTGGCTTTTTAGCCCATATGCTTTTAAGGTGCTGTGCAGGTTGAAAATACTAATACCATTTATGTTTGTTACAAGTATTACTAAGGAGATACTTGTCATACCTGTTACCTTGTACACTGTTGTCTGATTGAACATGAGAGTCTGATAAAATATGTTGCATATTACTAAGAAAGGAACAGTAGTAAATATTATTTATACTGTACATTATTACGAAAAGAAAAAGATTGTACTGAAATATGTGCTTGTTAGTGTTAAAAAAATACTATTTATTTTTGAGCTTCTTTCCTTATACAGGGAAGAACTCTAGCTATTTCTTGACTGCACTATTTATGTTTATTACTTTATAAATATGTATTAAGTGAAGACATAATCTAAATGGTAATAGTATGCATGCTTATCATAATTTTTTTTGAGAATGGTAATTATTTCAGTAGTTTTTACACATGAAAGACAAAACTTCTGTGGACCAATTTGGTTCCAGGTTTTGTCTTTTTTGTCATCTTGTGATGAGAAATTTTATGTAATTCAGTTGTCGGGATACTTTAAGAATATGTCTAAACCACCTGTTAATAGAATATAATAAATATCAATTCTTATAAATTATAAATCATGTGTAAAAATGATTTACATTATGCTTCTTGTCCTTGCACCGTTTAGGAATTGTTTCATCATTCACAAAATGTGTTTTCCCTTTTAAGGCCCAATCCTAATTTTTCTTCCTTTAGTGACTGTATTCATTCTAGACTTTCAGATTTTCTTATTGAAATTCTTAGTACTCACTCAATGCTGTTTCTCCACTTTGCACTTGTGGTAATTCTCAGGTTCAAGAAAAACTTTATTTTAAGCATCTCAAAGAACAATTTATTGGAAAGAAACAACTATATAGGAATAAATGAGTAACAATAGATGTATTGTCCATGAAAAAGTAGTTTCTTTTAGTTGTATAGAAGGAATTCAAATCAGTAATGATAGTGAATTCCTGTTTTGCAGTATTATTCACATTAAGAAAAGGTTTGTTATGAATACTGCACTGTGGTTTCAGTTATTAATTTGCTTTAGCTTTTTGTAATTAATTTATAGCTTCATTCACATGTACAGTTTTAGTGAAACTGAGGTTAGGAAGATATTACTTCAAGTACAAGTGCTTTGATGCTAATAACTTATTTTCTTTATTATTAGGAATGGATTTTTTGTCTTTTGAACATGATTTTTGAATGTTAATTCTAAAAGATTAATCTTTAGTTCAATTTCTACATTAAAGTTAGATAAATTAGTAACCAAAGGTTTTAATAAACAGTTTACAAATGTATAAAAAAATTTCCATTTGTTCTTTGGATCACTGAAATTGCAAATAAAAAATCTTTGAATTTAATTGGGGCTTTCTTTTTATGTGCTATTGATATTGGGTTTGCATTATCCTCTCATTCTCTGTACTGAGTGTTTCTGGCTCATAGAAGTAACATAGAGCAGTATAGACAACAAAAGCTGTAAGGTAATTATGGCCTGGTGATTAGGGAGCTCGATTCACAATCTGCGGGTCGCAGGTACAAATCCACGTCCCACCAACCATGCTCGCCCTTTCAGCCATGGGGCATTATAATGTGATGATCAATCCCACTATTCCTTGGTAAAAGAGTAGCCCAAGCATTGGCAGTGGGGGATGATGACTAGCTGCCTTCTCTCTAGTCTTACACTGCTATATTAGGGACGGCTAGCAAAGATAGCCCTCGTGTAGCTTTGCACAAAATTCAAAACAAGCAAACAAACAAACTGTAAGGTAATATTCTTATTAATAGTCACCTCCAGTATTTATTGTACAAAATAAAGACACTTCTGAAACTAGGTTCTCTGTACTATAGGTTATTGGCATTTAAATGCCATTACAATCACTGAGAGATATAACATGGATTGATGATTAATTGTTTTTTTTGACAAATATAAAACCTATATTTACTTCAGATTTATCATCTCACCATTGGGAAATACCAGTTAATATTAGCAGTAGATTGAAAAATTACATTTTCTGGGATTTACCATTAAACTAAGAAATATTTCATTCTTTTGTTTGAAGTCTCCATTTATCATGTTTGTAATGACTGTTGGTTAGTCAGGAATTACCGTAATACTTAAGTTTTTGGTTTTAAAATTGTTAAAGCTGTTTGTAAGTTTTTCAAATTAACCAACTATATAAAAAGTTCTTTTTTAACTATCCATTTTTCAATGAATTGTGTTGTAGAAGTTTGTTTGATTTCACATGAAACTACATGAGGGAAATCTGCACCAGCCATTCCTAACACCCACTGGCAACTCTACTTTTGTCAAACTGAGTATTGGGATTAGACCATCATCTTGTATCATATCCTTGGCCCCATTGTGCAAAGCACATATTATTTTTATTGTAATGTAGTGCAAACAGAGAACCTCAGCTCCAGGGTATGCCACAGTAACCACTGACTTGCTATCAGCCAGCATATTTCAGTAGACTCTGGAAAATTAAAAAATTTTTTCTTATTGAAAGCTTTATGTAACTGCCGATCCAATTCTGAATTTTCAACATTTTTCAAAGTCTTGTTTAATATACTGTGATGTATGTATTGTGGTATTAGTTGCAATTATAATAGTCATATGGATGTAAATCAAATAATATCATTTGTTTAGCTAGTTGTATCTTAACAGATTTTGATTGGAAATAGTAACACTGAAAAGTAATGCCTTATTGTTGTTTGGGCAATATAGAATTTTTTATTACACCATGAAGGTTTGGCCTATACAAAAGTGGTTGATCTTAGTGTGCATAAATAGTTAATGGCACAGAATGAGATTCCAGCTGTTAAAAGTATATTTCAGTTGACATTCCAACATGGTGTGAGTGAAACATAGATTTATATGTTAAGATCTAATAACTTTATCTACATGTTAAATGTGTTTATTACACTGTGATTATCATACTTGTGAGTTTCTAAAATTTTATTAGTAGCAGCTTTATGTGTCATGTTACAATAATTACTTATTTTTATGTTTTAAACAGTAATTATATGTTTTTATTAGGGTTGTCCAGTTTCCATACTTGATGATCTATCCAGTCCTCAAGTTGAGGGAAATGAGACTTTTATAGTCTTTCTAAGTACGCCTATAGGAAGTTCATTAGCTGATCCAGCCAAAGCTTTTGTTATCATCAGTGACTCCTTATCTGATCGTAAGTTTGTTGTGATTGCAAATTTATTGAGTAGTTAGTTTTGTTAGGTAAATAGAAATGGAAGAATATTTCTGTTTATTTTTATCTCTTTTATCAGGATTTTCTAAGAAATCAATAATATGGCTGAGTAAAGACAGTAACTGTTTAAAATGGTATCAACTCTAATTATTCTTATATTCCAGTTCCTGTCATACAGTTTAAAGTGGAGAAGCTTGTAATCAAAGAAAGTAGTGGAATTGTACAAGTCCCAGTTGTCAGGACTGGTGACTTGTCAAGCAAGTTGTCTGTGTTGTGTTACACTCTACAAAAAACAGCCTATGTCAGAGAAGACTTTGAAGAACGTCCAAAAAGTGATTTGTCAAAAATAACTTTCTTTCCAGGTGAAAAGGTCAGTTCATTTAGAATAGGTGCTTTAAAACTAAGGAAATAAAATCTTTCAGGAAAAAAGATGCTAATTTCCATGAAAAAAATATGACATTTTAGAATATAAAAATCAATCTTTTATTGCAAACTATAAACTTTGAAACCTAGTTAACAAATTAAAGAATATTAATTAAATGGTATTATAAAATATTAATAAATTTATCACTTCTGTTTACCATAATTGTTAATAATTTTACTATGTAAACTAGTTTAATTGAAATACATTTAGTATTGTATATTTATAAGAAAGTTTAGGTTTTTAAAGTATTCTTTATATAAAGTTTCAACAAGTATTTATATCATTTTAACACACAGAGTAAAAACTGTGTAGTATCAATAGTTGATGATGCAAGGTTTGAAGACAGTGAGTATTTCCTCCTGAAACTTGGCAATCTATGGACTGATTCTGCTGGAGGAGCTATTATTGGATCTGTAGACACAGTACGGGTCACCATCACAAATCAGGAAGATGGTACATAACAACTAGGATTTCTTACATACTATTTTATATATGTATAAAATGATAGTACCTAATTATATATATATATATATACACACACACACACACACACACACACACACAC